CAGGGAGGTGCCCATGGTGCTGTCTTTAACCCCTGCACCACCAGGGAGGCCATCTGCCAATATATACTGGTTTTCCAACTGATGGGCAATCTCTCTGTAACACCAAAGTGTTATCTGTGGGTCCACTAATCCTAAGTGGCCTGCTTGGCCACCTTTTTTGTTACCTACATTTCTGTATTACTACACAAGGTCAGAACTGCCCGGTCAATCAGTTATAGGAGCCCAACCCTACAAGGTGCCTTTGAAATCAATCTAGAGCAGAAAGCTTGATCAGCCTGAGAAGGATATGTATCAGGAGGTATGACTGGAAAAGCCCCGGGGGCGCGGGTGGGGGAGTGGATGTTGACTGATATATGAGAAGGGACCCCAGAAACTGATCAGTGGAATGCCTTGTTGATAAGATTGAAACCTAGGCTGGGGGTCTAGGGCTTGATTTCAATCACAATACTGAGCCATCAAGCAGATGAGAAGTGCCTGGGGAGGGGGACTCAAAACCCCTGACACTATAGATGACAGAGCACTGTTATCTAGTTTCACCCCTCCCTTTTCTCTCTGTCTTTCTCCACACAACTGATGCTGTATGGTTATTCTAAGAATGCAAAGGCCAAGATCTTGCTTTTTCAGCAGCATCATGCATTGTGTAGCCTTCTCCATGACTCCTGTTTCTTTATCCATGCGGTGTTGCTGACGCAACAGTTATCAATAGATCTCCAAAGCTGGGGTGTGTGAGGAGAAAACAGTGAATGACATCAACTCAGATTCCTGTCCTTTGCAACTTGGTAAAGTCGAACGACTACACATCAGACCATAAAAAGGAAGAATTTTACCAACTTATAGTAGAAGGGATCCTACTTTTTCTCAACCCCAGCTGGAATGCAAACTGTGGTCATGTGCCTTGGAACTGTCACCTCCTCAAGTCATTCGTGAGTTCCTAAGTTCCTCCTATTTATTACTCAAGGTAACCTAGAGGAGCCTGTTGATGCAGGGAAAAGTTCACTTAAAGAATTTTGTCTCATTGTGATGTCTAGTTTGTTTGTAATTATATTATCTATGCATTTTGGAATCATCTTTCTATAAGATAGGTCCCTATATGCTTTTAGGCTATCTAAATATACATTTTATTTAGATTCCCTGTATGATTACTGATTGCAGAATCATCTTCACAAATAGAACCACTGTAGGGTAAGTGATTTTTTTAAATTTATTTTTATGCAAGAACCGGCGTACAGGCCAGATGCGCGGGAGGAAAAGAGTCACCAGAGACAGAGTGGGGAACAGAACAGGCAGACTGACAAAATACACTGCTGAGGAGAGCAACGGGCGAGACAGGAGAGGTCTGCTCGCCATGTGGGTACCTCCCTGGCTGGCCGGGATGGAACCCGCGCTGCAGAGGCTGCGAACAGCTTCACAGGGCGGTGCTCAACTGCGTGAGCCACCAGGGAGGCCCTGTAGGGTAGGTGATTGTCAGGCTTTTCTGCCCTCCCACCATTGGCATTGATGATGGATCCTGCAGTCCTACCTGCATGCCTGATAGCAGGCACCTGGAGTAGGGTGTGGGCATGCATAGGTGGATATACCTGGGCTGAGACTGGCTTATAAGAGCAGCATCATGAGGACACCAGTAGAGCAGAGAGAGAGAAAGAACAAGAAAGAGGAAGAGTAGCAGAACGAGAGCAGCACCAGCAGAGAAGCAGAGACCACGAGAACGCCAGAGAGCACAGGAAGAGTGAAGATTCACCAGGGGCTAGGAGGCCTGCCAGCCTCCTGGTCCCCTGGCCCCCTGCCTGCCGTGTGCCTGGTAAAAGCTCAATAAAAGCCTGAAAATCCACCGAGGGCTCCAGGACTCTCCTTTACCCATCTGCATAGGATCATAGAGATCCTGCTCTGTGCCTTCCTGGCACTACAACCACTTACCACAAAAACTAACAGTTTTCCAAATCACTCCATCTTCCATCTAAGCTGCTTACAGCACTATATATTTTTTTTATTATTTTTTATTATTTATTTATTTATTTATTTTTAAAGATTTATTTATTTATTTATACAAGCACTGGGTACATTCAGAAGCGCGGGAGGGTGAGAGAATTCACCAGAGCCAGAGCGGGGAGCAGAGCAGGCAGAAGGACCGAAGTACACTGCTGAGGGAGCAGCGGCGGCAGTAGAGGTCTGCGCGCCATGTGGGTCCTCCGGTGGCCGGGGAGCAGCCGGGGATCGAACCGGCGTGCAGAGTCTGCGGGCAGCTTCGCAACCCAGCGCTCAACAGCTGCGCCACCGGGGAGGCCCTATTTATTTATTTTTTTTAATTGCTATTTGGAGAGTTTGTTTACTAAATCTGATAGGTGGCAATGGCAATGCTCAGAGTCAATTTCTTTTTTTTTGTTTTTTTTAATAAATTTTATTTTATATTCCCCATACAATTGCAACCCCCTTATTTTGACCCCAATCCCTCCCCTCCCCACCCCTCCACCCCCCATAGAGTGTCTCTGGTTCATAGTTTTTGTTGATTTTGATTTTCACTTTCTTATAGTTATTCATTTTCCTGGTCCCTTATTTAAGTTTTCTAGATTCCTGCTATGAGTGAGACCATCTGGTATTTTTCTTTTTCTTTCTGGCTTATTTCGCTGAGCATGATCCCTTCCAGCACCATCCATGTTGCTGCAAATTGCATGTGTTTATCTTTTTTGAATGCTGAGTAATATTCCATGGTGCATATGGACCACATCTTCTTAATCCAGTCATCTATTTCTGGGCATTTGGGTTGTTTCCAAAGCTTAGCTATTGTAAATAGTACAGCAGTATACATTTGAATCTGTGTATAATATTGTTGCTGGCTCTAGTGCCAGCAGGCACAGGGCAGGTTCACTGTCAATTCAGGTAGAAGAGAGTCCTGGAGCACTGAGTGGATTTTTCAGACTTTAATGCTCTCGGGGTACCAGGTACACAGGCACACCAGGCAGGAAGGTTGGCATGTAAGGAGGCAGGCACAGGAAAGGTTGGGGGGAGAGGGAGTGCAGTGTTGGGTAGGGCTAGGAGGCTGGCAGGCTGGCAGCCAAGCCCCGATCCTCCCAACCCCCCACAAATCTTTAAGCTCTTTCTCTGGGATCTTCCTGGCATCTGTATGGCGTCGTTCTCTTCTTACATCATCTCGTGGTCTCACCTCTTCTGTAGTCACACATCTTTTTTCCCTGAGCTTACACCGCCTCTAGGCTCAAGTGTGCGCACTTACACGTGCACGCACACCCATAGTCCAGGTGTCCCCAATCAGGCCTGCATGCTGTGCGCCCACGCCCCCAAGCGCCTTCTGCATTAACACAATCAAGGCCTCAGGTGATAGCCACAGAGGCTAGCAGTGTATAAAGCCTGATTAACTCTCTTACCCTACACTGGTATATTATACTAAGCCACAAGGACCCCAAATATCAGAGAAGATGGGCACTTTATTTTCACTGTGTGGAGAGTTATAAAAAAGGACAGAGATGTAGACCTTCTCTAAAATTTCGAGGCCTGTTTATCAGTTGAGGAGGGAAAATCTGTTCACTGGAGACAGGGTAGGAGAAAGAATCAAGCCTGTCTGGTATGAAATGTTCAATCACCAGGAAAAAGTCATAAGCCAGATTTCCCTGAAAGAAGATTTCCAGTCTCTTAAAACTTTTAACAGTGACCATAGGCTTCTATAAGGCCCAATTTTAAAAGAGAATCTAAGAAAAACTACACATAGGGGTTTACAATACATGTCTTAAGTGTATGGAACTACTCAGGAACTTTCATTTCAAAGGCATTTAATTCTAAAAGAATTCCCAATGTCCTTTTTTAAAAATTTTTCTACGACGGGGTAATGTTGAAACTAGCGATACTCAAAGTGGGATGCCTGGGCTAGCAGTTTTAGCATCATCTGGGAACACTTTAGAAATGAAAATTCCCAGGATCACTCTTGATTTGCTGAGTCAGATGCTCTGGGGCCAGAGTCTAGCCATTTGTGGTTTAACAAGTTCTTCAGGTGATTCCATTGCCTGAATTTTGAGACTCTCTCAAACAAACCCTTCGGGGCAGATCACATCTTTTACAATTTAACAGGAATATAGCAGAAGAGAAGGGCATGTCCTTTTGCCCATGGCGAACATATGTTAGTACCAAGCTCAGAGCTTTTCTGTTTTCTTCTTAAGAAAGGATCAGACAGGAGCAGGGGTGAGAAACCACCTTCGTGGGGTGTCAGAGCCCGGCCCCATGCCCGTCTACCTGGGGGTGGCTGAGGAATATTCCACCTGAATGGAAACATCTACTCCCTATACCTAACCCAAATCTTCTTTTATGAATTAAGCTTTTTCTTTTGTTTAATTTGTAATGGAAAGTAACAGTTGGTGGGTAAAATTAGTATGAAAATTTTTTAAGTACTTAATGTTCATGATTTAAATCATGCCTGAGTTTGATTTCTTCAAACTAAAACACACCTAATTTCAGTCTCTCCCTTGAACTATTCTACGTAAGTTAGAGAAAACTCAATTAATAACCTGATATTCAAATGAAGAATTGATCTTGAAGGACTCAAATCATTAAACCCTGCTATATTTTTTGGTGCATGCTCAGGAAATAAATATAGACAGAAGCTTGGCAGAGGAGTCAAGACAACTTCCAAAACATGCCAACTTTTTACTAATTCTCACTGTATAGTAAACATTGTATTAGAGGTGTAGTTTAATATATTCATACTTTTTTTTTTTGTTCTATATGTTGCTCATGCTTAGGAAAAAAAAGAAAAATTGCACATTCTTGGTATACTCTGCCAGCATCCACCCGATTTTTGTCCTCTAATTTACTATTACACCGTTATTCTTGTGCTTTAAGTGGCATGGAATTCAGCCTCCTCCAGGTGTAAATGTGTAATCTGACTGACCAATCAGATGGCTCCCTCCTCCTACCCGAGATGAGTAATTAGGGTCAAACAGAGAAGTTAAATTAGGTTCCAGATTTAGTCGTAGAAATTTTGAGGAAGGAGCATTTTTATTCAGCTGGAGTTGCTGAGAGCATGGTCTAGGAGTCTGGAGCTGTGGGTAGCCTCTGGTCACCCCAGTTAGAGACCCTACCAGCTACAGAATATGACACAGAAGAAAGCAGAGTAAGGAGGCTCACACAAGGGCGTAAGGACAAGGTTAAGCCAGAGAGCCAAATAGGACAGAACTTTTGGGAAAACAACACAGAAGAAAGCAGAGTTAAGAGAAACTCCCAGGAAGACCCAAGGACAGAAGTCAAGCCATAGAACCAAATAGGACAGAACTTTTCTGGTAAATGAGCCAATGCTTTATCTTTTCTTAAGCAGATTTATATTGTGCTTTCATCCACGTATAATTTAACGTCCAGGACTTTGTGACTAACTAGTTTATGGGAAAAAAAAAAAGATAATTCAGTAATGACCATAGGTTGCCAAAATGGGCAATTTTGACAAAAAAAAGTTTTTTGATAAAACCAGAAGGTCAGTTTTGGTGAATATTGTGTAGTGAGGATGGGGAAAAGTGTGTTTGGTTTTGAGCATTTTTATTTGAATCGGACTGTGAAACATTTAAGGGTACATATCATGTAGGTTATTGATTATGGAGTTCTGTATCTCCAGCAAGATGTCTAAGCCTGAAACACGTATTAAAAAGAATACCAAGTGTGCCCAACATATTTTAAGCTACAAATCCACCTCGTAAACATGAGATAACTGAGGTGAAGATAATAACAGAAAACTTTCACTTGACAACTAGGAATTGATGTTGGTTTGAAGAGGTGTTGGGTTCAGAGAGTGGGGTCCTGTGGTTAACTCTGAGAAAAAAAGTTTCATCAGAGCTCCCCTTTCAGTGGCACACGGTGTTTCCCCAGATGAGTTCCCCTATGAGGCAGAGATGTTTGGCTATATTCAAAAGGGCAGGCTTATTATAAAAGGGCAGGGCTGGGCTGGGCCAGGCCGGGCCCTTACACAGACACAAGCGGCCAGAGAGAGCTGCCCCCAAAAGGGACAGGTTTGTTAGAGAGACCTGCACAGACACAGGTGGGCAGCCCGGGGAGGAGAGCTGCTTCTGCTGCTTTGCAAAGGCAGAAGGTTGGTGACGAGAAGCACCTGCATCATCACATGTGGGCAGGAGAGCTGCATCTTGCCAGCACAGAAGTTGCACTGACAACTGTCTTCTCTTTGAGAAGGGTTCATTCCTTTGTGGGATTGTTAACTGCTTTTAAATTATTTCTAGGCTTGGTGCCAAAGGATATTTTCTATATTTGGTTTGATTAGGTAGATTTGAAAGGACTAGTGATTATTTATTTATTTTACAATGGTCCCCAACCTCCATAAGCCACCTCCAGTATGTGTACAGTCTGCATCTCTAGATACTTTACTTTTGTGTGGCTTGTTTAACTGCTATGTTAATCATTTCCACCACCCCCCACCTCCAGTTTCTGTTCTTGTGGTGCCAGTTTCTGGTCTTGTGATGTCTCTGTCTCAGATTTGCTACTCTTAGCCTCCGTGAGGACTCAACAGTGAATTGCACTGGCAAAACAAGGTTTCTGTGGGTAGGCACATGAAGTGTAAATAATGCAAATGAACATATCTATCTTTCAAGAATTTTAAATGGAAAGAGTTAGGTAACTCTCGTTATCTATACGTATAGGTTAATGATTACATAGAATCACTACTTTTTGACGCACAATTCTTGGTATGAGTTCCAGGGTACTAATTTTTTTTTATTTTTTTTTAATTTTTGCTGCCGAAATTGTTGCCATTTTAATTTAACATCACTTATTAGAACGTGGGAGTAGTGTCCAAGCAGATGGTTGTCAGTAAACTGATGACTACAGTTATGGATTAGTGTCCAAATACAATACTTAACACTTGGTATACTACATAGTTTCCTGAATGTGACTGCCAAAATAAATCTGGCCTGGAAAATAATTTTGAGGATTTTCCCCTCACACTTAAGTTCTCTTCAGTGTTTTGAACTGAAGATATCCTTAAAAATGTGGAGGCTGTACACATATAGACAAATCACAACATTCATTTAATGCATCTGTAAACGTTCCTGAAAAGTTTATTTAGGAGAAAATTTCCAATACAAGGCTCATGTAAACTCCATCAATTCCATCCAACATATGTCTTTTTTCTTTCATGGAGAGAGATCTGAGACCACTGTAACTTAAAGTACTTACTAAACTATATTGGTTCAGTCTTAAATCCTCACTTGAATTATTACCTTGTTAGATATTTTTTGTACTCAGAGACCAGCATAGGCAGTAAAGGATTGCACGGCTGCCTCCTCTTCTCCCATCATAGCTATCCCTTTAGTTCAGCTCTTAGCAGAAAACAAATTGTCTTTTATTCCAGAAAATCCAACTGTGGATTTTCAGTCCCTACAAAGACCTACGCCCTACTCCTACTACCTGGAAAAACAAGTGGCATCACAATAAGTTGGCTTTGCCCTGAGTAGTTTCTAGCAAGTACAATCTCTAATACACTGCTATCTTAAATCTATCAAATGCTTGTATTTATGAAGGCTTACCTGAAAGATAAGCAGTGCCTCTAAATCCTCTAAAATTTACTCAGGATTAAGTTAAACCAGCAGAGAGTTATATCCTTAAATAACAGCCGTCCACCCATGCCTTTACCGAGTGGTATTTCCCTTGCATGATGTCATGGACACTATTGAGGGGGCAACATGAATGGACCTGATGAAGCTGAGGCCTGTCTGAGACAAAAGTGTCAGCAAGGACGATGTTCATCCTGTTACATGGTGTTCTTTTTATAAGGACTCTAGGGGGAAATTTTTTTTCTGCTGGCTTTCACACCAGCAAAAGTCGTTCTCCTAAGCATTTGGCCTGTTCTTATCTTCTGGACCATCCCATTTTGGCTTTAAGCAGAACTAATATGTTGTTTAAGATACCTGGCAGCAAAGAGGTCAGAAGAAGGTCAGGCTGTCTCCTCTGTAGTGAATTGGTGACATTCATTCATTATCTCTCAAGGCCTCATTAAAACAACTTTAATATAGTGACCATTTGATGGTAGACGTATGCTTTAATCTTGGGAATATCAAACCCACCTGGGTTACATTTCCTGTTATGGACAGTTAGCAGAAGCAGGTTAATACAATATTTTAACTCCTTAATCTGCAGAGCTTGCATAGGAAGCAGGCTCGCCAGTTGCCTGAATTTGAGTTCACATCATCTATACAGACCTAACTTAATCAGATTCTGTCTTCAAATCTTGGATTGAGACACTTTTAATCATCTGTTTAATTTTGCACCTTATCTTTTTTGCCCTAATACATTATTTTTCAGGTTATTCTTTAGGCCTGATATGCCCTATTTTTCTTTCTCATCTGACCTAGATTCAAATTTACACACTGTGAAATAGCTAATAAATCCCCATTAAGGTTGTAAAAGGTGAAGGTTCAACCAGTGTATAAGTCATCAAATTCTCATGTAAAACTGAATGATCCTTGATATTAATAGCTTGGCATAAGTAGGCTATGGGTCCTTACAATTTTTATGAAAAATATTTTAAGTCATTCGGCCGAGGGCAACTCACCTACCCTAGAATGACTTGAGAATTTCTGCAATTTCCACAGGACCTGGGCAAATCTTCCCTCTGCCAATGAATCTTAAAATGCAATCTTTTCCTTGGAAGGCTGCCCATAGTTCTAAGTTTACCTGTGCTCATTGTGTGATGTTTCCTTTGTGTGCATTTGTCTTTGAGTCTGGACATTAAAAGGGAAAGTCTCTGTTCCTGTCTGCTCCTGGTGGAGCCAAGGGAAAGTGGGACAAGAAGCCCCAGTGGGAGCTTCTTTCCTTTTTCTCCTCTCCACAAGCAATAGAGAGTATTACAATGATTTACAGAGACATGTTGAAAGTAAATTATGTTGTAAACGCCTGTCCCTTGGGCCAGCTAAGAATCACAGGAAAAAAATGCAAAAAGTTTGAAATTCCCAACAGCAAAGGTTGACAGGAAAATATGGTTTTGTTTTTCTATGAGTAAAAGTAACTTTTATGTTGTGTTTTCCCATGAGAAATTATAAACTTTCAAAGGAATTTTAGCCTCTTGCATGCACATATAAGAGCAATTTATCTGGTACTGCCCCAGCGAAAACACTCTTAAGACTTGAAAGCTGTTAGAAGTGGGGCTGAATTTCTTCAAGACCGCTACTTCTTATTTGTCCTTGCTGTCTCCTCTTGTCAAAACATTTACTCAGACTTCCAAGAGTTGCAAGTTGGCAACATGTTAATAATATGAAAATGCATTTGTGCAGCCCATGTGGCTGCAATTTTTGAGTATATTCATCACTTAATGAATAATGAATCCTTTACAGTAGCTATGGCGACACAAAGGGCTATGCAGCAAGTTCAATGCGAATTTGTCAATATAAGATGCTGCAAGTGTTGCCAAGGATGTTGTCTCTTTCCTAGTCTTCTTGGGACTCTCAGGGACTCTCCCTCTTCATCCTCATCTAATAAGGAACAGCAACATAAATCCTATAGCTAAGTGGGAAGCTTAAATCACTCAAGTCAATTTTGTGGGTGTGAACACCTTTTATTCCTGAGCTATAAAGATCTACATTTAAATCTCATTTTCTTTTTGTCTCAAGTTAATATAAAATTATTCAGAATGATTTTTATTAGAAATATCCACTTTTTTTTTTTTTTTTTTATGGCATGATATGAAAAGAAGTAACAGATATCCCAAACTGCTACTCGGCCTCCACTGAAACTAGATTTCTTCCACATTGTTTAGTATTGGCTTATTTTCATGGAGACTTTTCATGATTTTTGACTTTTTGTCCCTGGCCCCTCTCATGATCTCCCTTTTGCCAAAGGTCCCAGTTTTCTCTAGTGTTTATGAACTCTTTCCTTGTCAAAATACCAGATAGTCTGTTCCTCCCCCTGGCAGGGAGATTTACACAAGGGATGTCATTTCAGGGACTATGAGCAGACATGGTAATTCTCCTCTCTACCTGTCACTTCAGCATTTGCATCAAAACTCTGGTGTACTGAGCAGAGTGCATGCCTTCAGTCTCCACTCCATCTAACAGAGCACTCCAATTTCCAGACTATGCTCCCTTTAGATCTCAGAATTGCCCTAAAGTTTCTATTAATATTAACTCAAACCTTTGAAAGCAAAAACCTTAGAGTATGTGTGCAATATATTGACAATATCTGCTTATTTTAGATTCACACAACTTTAGTTATGAATAGAATGAAAAGTAAATCGGCATCATCCTCATTTTCTCATGCTCTGCTAGGCACACACAGAAACCCTGCTGGT